ATTCTTCAGTCCCAAAAGGAGTACAGACAGAGAAAGGACCTGAGAAAATATTTGAAGAGATTATAGTCGAAAACTTCCCTAACGTGGTAAAGGAAATAGCCACCCAAGTCCAGGAAGCACAGAGAGTTCCAGGCAGGATAAATCCAAGGAGAAACACACCAAGACACATAGTAATCAAATTGACAAAAATTAAAGACAAAGAAAAATTATTAAAAGCAACAAGGGAAAAACAACAAATAACATACAAGGGAACTCCCATAAAGTGAACAGCTGATTTCTCAGCAGAAACTCTACAAGCCAGAAGGGAGTGGCACGATATATTAAAAGTGATGAAACAGAACTACAACCAAGATTACTCTACCCGGCAAGCTTTACAGACAAGCAAAAGCTAAGAGAATTCAGCACCACCAAACCAGCTCTACAACAAATGCTAAAGGAACTTCTCTAAGTGGGAAATAAGAGAAGAAAAGGGACTTCCCTGGTGGCGCAGTGGTTAAGAATCCACCTGCCAAAGGCAGGGCACACGGGTTCGAGCCCTGGTCCAGGAAGATCCCACGTGCTGTGGAGCAACTAAGCCCGTGCGCCACAACTACTGAGCCTGCGCTCTAGAGCCCGTGAGCCACAACTACTGAGCCCAAATGCTACAATTACTGAAGCCTGCGCGCCTAGAGCACATGCTCTGCAACAACAGAAGCCACCACATTGAGAAGCCCACACACCGCAACTAGAGAAAGCCCGCGCCCAGCAACAAAGACCCAACGCAGCCAAACATAAATAAATAAATAAATAAATAATTTTTTATTGTCAAAAAAAGAGAGGGAGAGAAGAAAAGGACCTACAAAAACAAACCCAAGGGCTTCCCTGGTGGCGCAGTGGTAGAGAGTCCACCTGCCAATGCAGGGGACATGGGTTCATGCCCCGGTCCGGGAACATCCCACATGCCACAGAGCGGCTGGGCCCATGAGCCATGGCCGCTGAGCCTGTGCGTCTGGAGCCTGTGTTCCGCAACAGGAGAGGCCATAACAGTGAGAGGCCCGCGTACCACAAAAAAAAAAAAAAAAAGAAAACAATTAAGAAAATGTTAATAGTAACATATATATCGATAATTACCTTAAATGTGAATGGATTAAATGCTCCAACCAAAAGACACAGGCTCACTGAATGGATACAAAAACAAGACCCATATATATGCTGTCTACAAGAGACCCACTTCAGACCTAGGGACACATACAGACTGAAAGTGAGGGCATGGAAAAAGATATTCCAAGCAAATGTAAATCAAAAGAAAACTAGAGTAGCAATACTCATATAAAATAAAGAAAGTTACAAGAGACAAGGAAGGACACTAAGGACATTACATAATGATCAAGGGATCAATCCAAGAAGAAGATATAACTATTATAAATATATATGCACCCAACAAAGGAGCACCTCAATACATAAGGCAAATGCTAACAGCTATAAAGAGGAAATCGACAGTAATACAACAATAGTGGGGGATACTAACACCTCACTTACACCAAAGGACAGATCATCCAGACAGAAAATCAGGGCTTCCCTGGTGGCGCAGTGGTTGAGAGTCCGCCTGCCGATGCAGGGGACAAGGGTTTGTGCCCCAGTCCAAGGGGATCCCACATGCCGCGGAGCGGCTGGGCCCGTGAACCATGGCCGCTGAGCCTGCGCGTCCGGAGCCTGTGCTCCGCGACGGGAGAGGCCACAACAATGAGAGGGCCGCGTACCGCAAAAAAAACCACAAAAAAACGCATTTTAATTTCTGACCTGTTACAGTCATCCCTGTGTTATAGTCATTCCCACTTTTCCTCTGGGACTGTCAGTTGCCAGACAGCTAGGGGCTGAGGCAGGATTGGGGGTTCCAGGATAGATCACATCTTGGGTCACAAATCAAGCCTCAGTGAATATAAGAAAATTTAAATCATACCGAGCATCTTTTCTGACCACAATGCTATGAGATTAGAAATAAATTAGAGGGGAAAAAATGTAAAAAACACAAACACATGGAGGCTAAACAATACATTACTAAATAACCAAGAGATCACTGAAGAAATCAAAGCAGAAATCAAAAAATACCTTGAGACAAATGACAACGAAAACATGCTGATCCAAAACCTATGGGATACAGTAAAAGCAGTTCTAAGAGGGAAGTTTATAGCTATACAAGCCTACCTCAAGAAACAAGAAAAATCTCAAATAAACAATCTAACCTCACACCTAAAGGAACTAGAGAAAGAAGAACAAACAAAACCCAAAGTTAGTAGAAGGAAAGAAATCATAAGGATCAGAGCAGAAATAAATGAAACAGAAACAAAGAAAGCAATAGCAAAGGTCAATAAAACTAAAAGCTGGTTGTTTAAGAAGATAAACAAAATTGATAAACCTTTAGTCAGAGTCATTAAGAAAAAGAGGGAGAGGACTCAAATCAATAAAATTAGAAATGAAAAAGGAGAAGTTACAACGGACACCACAGAAATACAAAGCATCATAAGAGACTACTATAGGCAACTCTATGCAATAAAATGGACAACCTGGGAGAAATGGACAAATTCTTAGAAAGGTATAACCTTCCAAGACTGAACCAGGAAGAAATAGAAAATACGAACAGACCAATAACAAGTAATGAAATTGAAACTGTGATTAAAAATCTTCCAACAAACAAAAGTCCAGGACCGGATGGCTTCACAGGTGAATTCTACCAAACATTCAGAGAAGAGCTAACACCCATCCTTCTCAAACTCTTGCAAAAAATTGCACAGGAAGGAACACTCCCAAACTCATTCTACGAGGCCACCTGATGCCAAAACCAGACAAAGACACTACAAAAAAGAAAATTACAGACCAGTATCACTGATGAGTACAGATGCAAAAATCCTCAACAAAATACTAGCAAACAGAATCCAGGAACACATTAAAAGGATCATACACTATGATCAAGTGGGATTTATCCCAGAGATGCAAGAATTCTTCAATATGCACAAATCAATCAATGTGATACACCATATTAACAAGTTGAAAAATAAAAACCATATGATCGGGCTTCCCGGGTGGTGCAGTAGTTAAGACTCCGCCTGCCAATGCAGAGGACACAGGCTCCAGCCCCCGTGCAGTAGTTAAGACTCCGCCTGCCAATGCAGAGGACACAGGCTCGAGCCCTGGTCCGGGAAGATCCCACATGCCGTGGAGCAACTAAGCCCGTGCACCACAACTACTGAGCCTGCGCTCTAGAGCCCGCAAGCCACAACTACTGAGCCCGCACACCGTAGAGCCCGTGCTCCGCGACAAGAGAAGCCACCGCAATGAGACGCCCGCGCACCGCAACAAAGAGTAGCCCCCGCTCACCGCAACTAGAGAAAGGCCGCACACAGCAACAAAGACCCAAAGCAGCCCAAAATAAACAAAATAAATAAATTAAAAAACAAACAAAAAGCCGTATGATCATCTCAATAGATGCAGCAAAATCTTTTGACAAAATTCAACACCCATTTTATGATAAAAACTCTCCAGTAAGTGGGGATAGAGGGAACCTACCTCAACAGAAAAAAATATATATATATATCTTGCTAATATTCAACGAGCTCTTACTAATTTGTAAGACAAAATGAACTCCCTAAGAAAAAAAGAGACCAAAAAACCCAAAACAAAACACAAACAGGGAATTCACAAGAGGTGAAATTAGAACGGCCAAGAAGCATCATAACCATTTAGGGGGTGAGAGCTTCATCTGGGTCATCCCATTTAACCCTCAAAGTCACCCTATGGGAGCAGCACTTGCCAATAACACTTGGGAAGGTGAAGCAGCATCTCCAGGATCTCAGAGCAGATAAACAGATTACAAATCAGTCTTGACCACTGAGCCTTATGGCAGAAAGAAGATGACTGACTGATCCCCTTCTGGGAAGGATATCAGGAAAGCGGCCTTCTCATGCAGTCTTCCTGGGGGTGCAAATACCAACAGCTGGGCAATAAGATTTCTAAGGTGTTAACAGCGTGCACACCCTACTGCCCACAACCCCACTTTGGGAAATACACTCCAAGAAGATAATCTCAGAAGTTCTAAAAGGTACATGTAAGTCCCATGAACTCCTATAAAAGGCACAAAGTCACTCTTGATAGCACTGTTTATTTACAACGAGAAAAAACTGCAAACTTAAAAGTCTATCAGTAAGGGACTAGTCTGTGGCATACATAGACAGTGGAACACTATGAAGCTTTTTTATACTAAATTTTTCCAAAATTTTAAGAGTGGCTTATCTTTGATTGCAGGGGTCCCAGAAGATATTTTACTTTCTTCCCTTTGTTGTCCTTCGCTGTTTGATTTATTTTTCTTACCTATTGTCTTTACCAAAACGAGAGCTTACTGAACATCAGAGATCTATCAACGTTCAAATGAACAGAGAGACTTGAACTGTGGATTAGGTAAAGCTTTCTTCCTGGGATTTGTTACAAAACTACTCACTATCCTCACTTCGACCACCACCATCCCTGAGGGGGGGCATCAGCCCCCTGCAGCACTGCCCGGTTCCACCCACCGCTCCACAGACCAGGTCCTCGCCCTCAGGAGATACTCCAAACCCTCGGGCTCCCCTAACTATTCAAATTCACCCTCATCGTTCCCGTCAGCTCCGCCCCCAAGGACTGGGGACCAAGGACAGACGTCAGCTTGCTCCCCGGCCTAAACTCAGCCTCAGCTCGCGTCATTGCCCTCGGCGTCCTGGCCCCCGCTGCTAGGGGACCCCTCACGCCCCTCTGATCACCCCCTGCAGGCAGAACCCGGTCCGCCGCCCACCCGGAACTCCACCGCGCCCGGAACCCGCGGTCCCGGGTCTGTGGCAGGGCCCCCCGGGGTCACAGCACGCCCCAGCGGCCGGGACCTTCCTCCTGGAGCACCGTTCCGAGGTAGGTGCTCTTCCAGAGCCCGTGGTGACCCCGCCCAGAGCTTCCCCCGGCCAAGCCCCCTCAACCAGGCCCCGCCCCGACGCGCTTACCCTCTCGGCAGCGCCGCCTCCAGATGGTGTCGGTGTGCAGGATGCGCCGGAACTTGGTGCAGACCTGAGCCAGGCTAGGCAGGTCGGTGCCGGGCAGCGAAGCGAAGATCTCCACAAGCAGCTCGGGCGGCAGCTCCAGCAGCGAGCAGCGCGGGGGCGACGAGGGGCCCGCGCTCCGGCCGCCCCCCGCCCCGGCCAGCGCCGCCGCGCCCGCCTCGATGCGCTCTTCCTCGGGGTCCGTGTCCGGCTCACTGTCGGCCGCTGCCGCCTCGGCCGGGCCCCGGCGCTGCTGGCGGCGCCGGCATCCCCGCGACGGGCCCACGCCGCGGAGGCGAGCGCACACCGCCATGCCGGCGACTGACGGCCGCCGCGCCGCCGCCGCCGCCGGTGCGCACGCGCCTCCAGAGAGCCGAGCCCCGCCCCACCCCGCAAGGGAGCCTATCCCCGCCCCGGTGAGAGTCGAGCCCCGCCCCCTGGAGAGCCGAGCCCCGCCCTCCGGAGGATCCGAGCCCCTGCCCCAGGAAAGCAAGACACGCCCCTGGGGTTCAAGCCACACCCCTCCCGGCTGTCAAGCCACGCCCCGAATGCCTAGGCGACCTCGCGGTCTAGGGCTTGGCCCCGCCCACCAGGGGGAACCTGCAAACACCTGGGCCGAACCCGAATGCCTCCCGCCTACCCCCGCCCTCCCGTGTCATTGAGACCGTCTCCCCGCGGCCCCACGACCCCCGGGGGGGGAACCGGCGCCTGGGCAGCAAATGGCGCGCTGTCGGGTGTGAGGGCCGAACTTATCACCTCCCGAGTATGGGGCTGACGCGCTCTTCCCGAGATCAGCCCCGAACACCCTACGGGGCACCTCCCTCCAAACCAGAATGCTCCAGGAAGGCCCGAGGGGCCCCCGCAGAACCCCCCAGGAAGGCCCAAAGTTGCCCCCCAAGAACCCCCCCCCCCGAGCACCCTTCCATGAAGAATCCTCCGGGAAAGCCCAGAGGACACTGCTCCGAGGACCTCCCAGGAAGGCCTGGAGGAGCCCACCAGAACTCCCCAGAGGACCCCAAGAACCTCACGCTAGGTGTGTAGTCTGTCTGATCTTGCTGTGCCCTAGTTACCTTATTTACTGGGTTCTGGAGGCTGACTGGGGCCTAGGGCGGGGGTGGAGCATGTGCAGACCTTCTCCTGACAGTGGCTTCACCTTAAGGAGCACTGATGACAAGAAACTGTCCAGAGAGGAGGGCCAAGGGTATGGATGTGATTACAAGATTACAGGATTATAGGAGCCTCTGCCTGGGTGGGCCCAGCTCCTTTCTGGTCAAGACTGACTTCAAGGCCCTGAAGTGCTGGAGAGCCCTTCAGGAGCCCAAAAGGAAGCCTAACCAGAGCCCAAAAGGAAGTTAAGAATCCACAGCCCACTGCAGTGTTTCTGGTCAGTGTTTCTATTGCTACTCAAATAGAAAATAGTGACCGCGCCAGTTCCCTGGGCCCAGCCTCCACAAGGTCCTGGCTATTCACTACCTCCCTAAGGAGGTCTCCAAGCGGAAGAGAGGGCTGCCTACCCCAGTCCACAGAATCCCATGAATGAGGAAGTTCATCTTCTGACAGAAGTAACCATTCTGTACTTCAAACCTTGAACATCTCAGCTCCAGGCAATTGAAAAACAACACGTAGGGACTTCCCTGGTGGCGCAGTGGTTGAGAATCTGCCTGCCAATCCAGGGGACACGGGTTCGATCCCTGGTCCGGGAAGATCCCACGTGCCACAGAGCAGCTAAGCCCGTGCCCCACAACTACTGAACCTGCGCTCTAGAGCCTGCAAGCCATAACTACTGAGCCCACGTGCCACAACTACTGAAGCCCGCGCACCTAGAGCCCGTGCTCCACAACAAGAGAAGCCACCCAATAAGAAGCCCGCGCACCGCAATGAAGAGTAGCCCCAGCTCGCCGCAACTAGAGAAAAGCCCGCGCGCAGCAATGAAGACCCAACACAGCCAAAAATAAAAATAAATTTTCAAAAAAAAAGACTCCACACTCAAAAAATAAAAGAAAAACATGTAACTGCCCTCCCTGTATCTCAACGGTTTTTCAAACTGTCCTCCACCCTGTTATCAGAACTCTCTTCCTGCAAATAGCAACACATAAACAAAAGCATACTCATCGCTTCACTCACCTATTTAGAAATATTTAACGGCCCCATTGACTTCATATGACATCACACAAAGTACCTCACAATCCTGTCCTAACCTCCCAGTCAAGCATCATCTCCTGTCTCTACTGAAACTCACCGTGTCTGCCACTTGTTCAAGCTGTCTCCTCTGCCAGGAGAACCCTCTCCCCAGTCTATGCCAGTAAACAGCCACCCCTTCTCAGAATGTCCTTTTATTACAGCACCATCATTTGTTTTGTTACAAACATTTGCTTCCTTTGGTAGCAGCCTTACTAGATGTATCTCCTGTCACATGATAGACCTGCTAACACACATCATGTAATCGGCAAATGTGTACTGACTAAATGTTTGTTCAATGAAAAAGGAACAAATGATACAGGCTAGAAGGCTAAAAAGTGAGGAACGTAAACCAGACTTAGAGAAGACTAGTGGATTTATCACCTGAACCATCCAAGCTAGCAAGTCTCCCAGCAAACAAATGCATTAACTAATGTAATAAATATTTATAGAATGACTAACTTACATGCTATGTTCTGTGTGGACCCATAGATTGTAAAGCATGAGCTTTGCTGTTGTATATTTCAATCAGTTTGTTTTTTTAAATCTATCTACTCCCTACTAGGTCGTATTAATAAAATACAATATTCACCAATTAATAAAATACAGTATTCTCCTATTAATAAAATACAGTATTCTCAGGTCCTATTAATAAAATACATTTTAGAGTACATTAAAATGTACAAAAATTTCCATCTTTAGAAGAATGGTTAACGTATGTTCATAATTTGAATAATGCATAATTCAGTGAAAAGATACCTCTAAATCTATATATTCTTGACAGCAGGAACAACAGAGGGCTGTGTACAATAACCCACAAAGGTGTGAAAGGATGGAATTTGTGCTGACCATCAGAACAGAAAGAAAAGGATGGCCGTGAGAGCTTGGGTAATCCATATCGGTGGAGAGGAACCAGAGGGGAAGACTTAGGCTGTAGCAGAGAACTATTACACATTGAACCCTGAAAGCTTTGTGTCCTTGAAACTTTTACAATCCCTTATATAGAACTGTATCCCTTACAAAGAATGCTAAGGAGGATACATTCATAAATGAGGAAAACCTAGATAGAAGAGGCCCTTTTTTATGGAAATTTTTTAAAATTTAATACAATTTTAAGGCTTACTTTTTATTTCCAGTTATTACAAAATTTTGGCTCTATTCCCCGTGTTGTACAATACATCCTTGAGCCTGTCTAACACCCAAAAATTTGTGCCTCCCTCTCTCCCACTCCTATATTGCCCCCGCAGCGGTAACCACTAGTTCATTCTCTGTGAGTCTGCTTCTCTTTTGTTATGTTCACTAGTTTGTTGTATTTTTAATTTAATTATTTTTTTTCAAGAAAGCGAAGTGAGGATTTACTAAGCGAAAGTACCATCTCAGTGGGAGAGTGGGCAGACTCAGGTGAGTAGCTGCCTAGTTTGTTGTATTTTTTACTTATACCACGTATAAGTGATATCATACAGTATTTGGCTTTGTCTGGCTTATTTCACTTAGCATAATGCCCTCCAATCCATCCATGTTGCTGCAAATGGCAAAATTTTGCTCTTTTTTATGGCTGAGTAGTATTCCAGTGTGTGTGTGTGTGTGTGTGTGTGTGTGTGTGTGTGTGTGTGTGTACATATATATATATATATCACATCTTTATCCATTCATCTCTTGATGGGCATTTAGGTTGCTTCCATATCTTGGCAATTGTAAATAATGCTGCTATGAACATTGGGGTGCATATATCTTTTCGAGTTAGTGGGGTTTTTTCAGACATATATTCAGGAGTGGAACTGCTGAGTCATATGGTAGTTCTATTTTTAATTTTTTGAGAAACCTCCATACTGTCCTCCACAGCGGCTGCACCAAGAGATCATTTGTTTTAACAGTATGTCGGGAATATAAGAATGTTCTCTTTGTTAGTGAGAACTGATAACAACTAAGGAAATTAGTAGAGTACAGGACGAGGCATTTCTCAATTGGTTGCCTCAAAAGTAGTAGTTCTTTCACGTTGCCCCTGAAAGTAGTATTTCTTGAACTTAAGAAAACCCTGTTAACTTTCCCCATGCTGGTTCTCAGAATCCAGATGTGAAAAAATGGCAATTTGCCCACCGCTCAGAAGAAACAGTCAAGGTGAATGGAAAGAAGGGAAACTATTCAAAGGCTAAACAAGAGGTTTGAGGTGCGAAATAAGAGTCTCAATGATTACATCCTTTAGTCCCAACATGGGCAAAAAGCTGGAAAAATAGCAGTCCTTCAGAATTTGTTTGGAATTAAACAAGCAAAAAACTACAACAGAGAAAAAACCCTGTGGAATGACTGCCAGCTCCATTAATTGTTACACACTCACTTAAGAGACAATGTTAGGTTTCAGGAGTGATTTGAGATCACTTTCCTGCATGCACCAGTGTGCTGGTTTCTGAAGTCGTACACCAGAGCCAGAGCGTCCTGGGAGAGGAAGCACTTCCACATGGTGCCTTTCTCGCTTAGGACAATCCGTCCTGGACCTGGGTGAAGACACTCCTAAGGACTGCAAGCTATGGAGCATCAACTGCAAAACCCTCCTGGCTGAGTCCTTTCTGAGAACAGCGGGAACACTGCTCTTGTGCAATACTTGTTTGTTTACTTTAGCTAAAGAGCAGAGATGACACAAGACTGATTGGACCACTGGCCAGTAGTGGCCCAGACAGCAAGGAGGGTAGAATATCTTTCCCAATCAGAAAAAAGAGAGGCAGGACAGGCCGGGCAGGCCTGAAGAGCTGAACTAACTCTCAGTGTGACTTGCCCTCCATACTGAGTGTGGCAAAATAACCCTAACGTGTTCTGCACTGCCAGTTAATGTTTCACGCTTTGTTTGTTTTTTTTTCATGCCTCGTTTAACAGATTCTTAGAAAGAGGGAGACAGCATGATTTACAGCATGTTACTTCACTAATGCTGGGACATCATATTCAATTTCTAGCTGTTAGCTTATAGAAAGAAATAGGGCAAGAGTTACTTAAAACTGACACTGCTTGGCTTTCTAGAATGATTATTTAATAGCTTAAAAGTACCATGAGATTTCTGGAGAAAACACTGAATAAATTCACATGAGAGATGCGGTCTTTTCTACTTTATGTGGATTATTTCAAAGAAGAGTAATATTTGTTAATCGTTTAAAAATAAACCGTACTATTCTTATATTAACTAGCTTAAAATAGATCATGATATTAATTTACCACTCTGAATATCATTTACTACGTCGAACATATATTAAACTGCAATCTGGGGGTATTTCCCTGGTGGTCCAGTGGTTGAGACTCTGCAGTTCCACTGCAGAGGGCACAGGTTCCATCCCTGGTCGGGGAACTAAGATCCCTCATGCCACATGGTGCAGCCAAAAATAAACAAAAACAAAACTGCAATCTGGGGGCACATGAAATTTTTCACATACACTCAAGCACACTTGTTTTCAAATTTTACATGAAGTTATGGTACTTCTTGATTGATATTTATTTGCATATGACTAAATTAGTAAACTATAAATATAATTTATATTTTATTTCAATATGTTCTTCTTACATGCTCATGAGACACCTTTACACACCAACCTCGCTGGATGATTTTCTGAGACACCTATAGGGAAGTGTGGTTTTAGATTCAAGTAGGAAGTGGAGATAATAGCATAGCAATCATTGTAAATGTGGACTTCAGTACTTGAAAATCACAAAGAGTAATCCTGTCCCATCTCTATCACAGCCCTTGAGGTAACCCCTGGGGCAGTGAACCCAAGGCCTGAGGTTATTTGGTAAAGCTTTATGGATCCCTAAGGGACTGGGAAAATATGAAACTCTCCTTCCCCTCCCCCCAGCTCCAGATGCCTGATATCGATTTTTTTTTTCACTCCTCTTGCATTTGGAACAGTTGTCCAGCAAGGGAACAAAAAGTCCATTTCTTACAAACTAGCAATTAAGCCAAAAAAGCACTCACCAGTCAATACTCAATATCATAAAAACCCAGAAAGGAAAGGAATACCCAGTCCACACTCATTTAAGACTTCGAAACTGATCATTTTGTGTCTGGCAGAAGGTAGGTACACTTACTGGATTTTTTCCCCCCCAATCTTCACAGAATAAATAAAAAACAACCAAGACAGTACACTTGGAGCTTAAAACCTTCCTTTGGAACATTGGAAAGCAGACAGAATGTTTAAGTCATCTTTATTAACTGTACACTATTAGAGATTTTTCAAGGTAAAGAACTGTGACAGAAAGAGGAGAAAAAAAAACCTGGGAAAGGGACATATGCACAAATGCACTTTTCCTTCGTAAATAGTGGCACAGTACAGAGCTACAACTAACATCACTGTTCTGGCAGATAATTATAGAAGATACTTGGCTACTCTGTAAAGAAAGAAATTCCAGGTGCATTGGAACCCCTTTGAGAAATATATTTTACTAGGTTTTGTATGTTTGTATAATAACCGTATATTAGCACAATCCAAATACTTTATAAAACAGACATTTTAAGAAAGGCTTTTACAAACTCAAAAAGGGGGGAATACTTTCAAAGTATGAAATATTAAACAGCAAAAACAGCCAAAGAATCACGTGCTGTTCATTCAGTTACCTGTTTATCAGATGTTTGAGTTGGGCAATAACTGATTTGATAACTAAACGTTGCGTAGTATCTATATTCTACCAGGCCCCTTTCATTTGCTCCTCAGAAAGCACTTGGAGTTCTAAAATAGTATTGCCCTCTTACACACGAGTCGGAGACTGAGAAAAATGGTGACGTACTCAAGGTAGCTCAGCTAGTTAGTGTTTGAAAGACTGAGCGGTCTGAACACGGGTAAGATTCCGTATCTGAGACCAGCAGAGATGAATGAAAGGCAGTGAACCCTGCCAGGTGTGGACAGGCCCGCGCCCTGTCAGCGCAGGTGATGCCCAGGGCTCATTCGACCACCTGAATTACCTTAGGCCGGATGCCGAGCCCAGAGCACAGACTTTCTCCAGGGCCGGACTCTACCGACCATAACCTGAAATAACACAGTTGCGGTTCTTTTCCTAGTAGGGACAATGCGTGCCGGAAGTTACCAGTGGACAGTTTCCTTAAAAAGAGAAAATGAGACGTACTTGACGTGGAAGCCAACGAAAACAAAGACACAAAAAGCCGCCGGCGGAAAAGCACCATCAGCTCCAAAGGAGGCAGAGGCACAACACCCATTTATTTTCAGGTGCAAACATCACCAGGCATCAAAACAGGCACCGGGAACAGGAGCGAGGCCGAGTCGCGGCAGCTCGGCCGCGGGGGCAGCACCGTGCGTATCTGCGCGGCGCGTTTCCGCGGGTCACAGGCTGATCCAGCGCTCGCGCTCCCCACGCGGGTCGCCGGCCGCTCCCACTCCCGACAGCCCCGACCCCTCCCCGGACGCTGCGCTCGTCCTGCTTCCGCCACGCCCGCCATGGCGACGGCGGTGGCCCGCTCCTGGCCCCGCCTCCCGGGACGCCGCGCAGGTCACCTGACGCGCCTGCGGGCTGAGAAGACACAAGAGCCGTCGCTGTCGCCACAGTCGGAGCCGTCTCAGCCACCGCCTGGAGCCGCCGGGATTCTCCACCTCGCCACCCCCGCCCAGCCTGCCGCGCTATGCCGTCGGAGAAGACCTTCAAACAGCGCCGAACCTTCGGTGGGTGCCGCGGGGCCGGCCGCTGACGGAGGGCCGGCGGCCTGAGGGGCCGAGGCGGCGGGGCCGGCCCTGGCGGAGGGGCTCCGGAGAGGGCGGACGGGCCGAGGTGCCGAGGGCTGAGCCGGGCTGAGGCGGGCTGAGGCGGGGGCTGCGGGAGAGCCGGGCCCGGGCGGCCGAAGGGCCGAGGCGGGGGCCTGACGGGCCGAGGGCGGCCGGGCCCAGGGGGCTGCGGGCCCGAGGGGCCGGAGTGCGGGGGCCGAGGGGCCGAGGGCGCACTGGCGCGGAGCTGCTGAATCACCTTTTGGCCCCGGGAGGCCGGGCGGGTTGTGGGCTCGGGGCCCGTTAGCCCTCCAGCCCTAGGATGTTAGGTCCCCACGACGAGACGAGCGCGAGCCGCGCAGGAGGTGCCCTCCTTGTAGGAGAGGCTGGCCCGGGCGCCGGGCTGGGACAGGTTCTCCGAAGTGGTGGCAGCGGGGGTGCAAGGCAGTCGTCTTCTGGTGCGTCGTCCGGGTCACACCTGGTCACTTTACGCGTCAGGACCTCCGTGGAGAGGAGTGACCCCGAGGCCGCGCCTCCTCACGCCTGCCCCTTCCCCTTGCAGCCCCGCGTGGCCGGGACGTCTTGGTCCTATTTGTGGCACAAGAGCTAGGGTGGGTGGCTCTTCTAACCGGCGTGCGACAGCATTCTTTGACAGCAGCGGCGAATCCGTTCTCTCCCAGTTCAGGCTAGAATCTCCACTTAGCTTGCTGGCATTTGGTTGAAACTGGAGGTGACACCATCACAATATTTACTCCTCCACAAAACCGATGGGAAGGAAGTGATTGGTGCTCCCTTTAAGCAAGACAGTTCTGCAGTAACAACGTGGCTTCCTTGCATATCGCTGTGCAGGGCTTGTTTATCTCAGCCCTGGAAGGCCAGGTGGAGTAGGGCGGGACCAGCGTTCCTGCCTGCCCTAATCTTTAGGAGCTTGAGCAGTATCGCTTTCGTCTACTTTTGTCTAGTTTCCTGGAGTCTAGAAAGAGCCGAGCATTCACTTGAGCTAAGATATGGTTTTGTAGATCTCGTTATTGATAATTGTTTCTTGTGCCTTGGAAGCTCCAGTAGATGAAATTCACGTTGACCTGTGGAGCATATCCTTTCAGCCTCTTGAAGCGGTTGGTCTGCAAAACTTAGACGTGTCTTTTTTTATTTTTTAAAGAAATTTTCTCTTTAGTGACTTTCATGAACTCAAGTTGATACTCATGAATATTGCTTACTTTTTATGCAGCCATGAGAACAGCATTTAGAGCAGATTTGCCATTGTGTCTGGCTTCTGTCCTTACAGACTCTGGCATTGAAAGCTAACTGGGGACATTTGTATGGGAAAGATGCCCATTTTCTCATGACCAATACTATAGTTACTTTCTTTTTGCTTAGAGTATTTTTAGGTTATCTAGAAAAATCGCTCAAGAGGAGTAGGTGGTAAGAGTAGGTGGTACGAGTAGGAAAGGTGAGGAATAACTAGAATAAAAGTGAGAATAAATGAGAATAAAATAGCGAATTAGAAGGAATTCCCCTGGTGCCTGTGAGTAAACCAGCAGGTATGCCTCATTTTTTCCTCCATTAGTGTACTTGTGGGCTTTCCTCTTTGTTCACCTTTACTCCCACTCCTCCTTTTTTTCTCCCTGGTCTCCTGACTCTGATTCTTTTTTTTCTACTTTTATTGAGAAATGACATTCATCACTGTACAAATTTAAGGTATTCAGCATGATGGCTTGGTTTACATATATTGTGAAATGATTACCATAATAGGTTCAGCTAACATGCATCTTCTCATAGATAAAATAAAAAAGGAAAATTTTCTCCTTGTGAAGAGAACTCCTAGGATTACCCCCGTCCCCCCCTTTTTTTTTACAAGGGCTCTTTAATAGTCATTTTGCAGGGCTTCCCTGGTGGCGCAGTGGTTAAGAATCCGCCTGCCAATGCAGGGGACACAGGTTCGAGCCCTGGTCCAGGAAGATCCCACAAGTCGTGGAGCAGCTAAGCCCGTGCGCCACAACTACTGAGCCTGCGCTCTAGAGCCCGTGACCCACAACTACTGAGCTCACGTGCCACAACTACTGAGGCCCGCGTGCCTAGAGCCTGTGGTCCGCAACAAGAAGCCACCACAGTGAGAAGCCCGCACACCTCAACAAAGAGTAGCCTCTGCTCGCCGCAGCTAGAGAAAGCCCACGCACGGCAATGAAGACCCAACGCAGCCAAATAAATAAATAAAAATAATTTTTAAAAAATAGTCATTTTGCGGAAAAATATTACATCATATAATGGCTCCTGCCTTTCCTTGTTACTGATTATGGTAATCAGCACTGACAGTTTTCAGAGATTTGTAACACAGTAAATGAGGGAAATAAGTTGTTTGGAGATACCTTTTTTTTTTTTGGTGGTATGTGGTCCTCTCACTGTTGTGGCCTCTCCCGTTGCGGAGCACAGGCTCCGGACGCGCAGGCTCAGTGGCCATGGTTCACGGGCCCAGCTGCTCCACGGCATGTGGGATCTTCCTGGACCGGGGCACGAACCCGCGTCCCCTGTGTCGGCAGGCGGACTCTCAACCACTGTGCCACCAGGGAAGCCCTGGAGATACCTTTTTTATAGAAACTAAGACCAGCCCCAGTTAGCTTGAACAGTACTGTTCCCAAGTGAGTGAGTTTAGGTTAATTAAAAATTGAGTGTAGCTCTGCTGTGATATATTCTACCAGGGTTGAAAAGGGTTGAGATGAATCTTAGGGCTCGCCCAAAACAACCACTTACTTTTGTGGCCAAAGAAACTGGGTGGGGCCCTGAGAGGTGGAAATCATGGTCCACCTAGTGGCAGAGTCTGGACTTGTACCCTTCTGATAGGAATTCTTCTGTCCTCCAGTAGGTAGCCATCATTTCCAGTACATGAAGTGGGCCAACACTCTGAGTCACGAGGCAATAGTGTTTCCTTACAAATGGTTTGAAAATTTTTATCAACTTCAGAAGTTGTATTTGAGCAAACATTTTTGGATTCAGTCTTCTCACATGTCATAATCTCACTCCATTTTCTTCTGGGGTTGCCCTAGTTTGTTTAATAACAGATCTGTCTCCTAGACATCATTCTGCTGAGATTCAGTGTTAAACCTAGATCTTAAGCTTACCATCAATAACAAAAGGTCTGCATGTCTCAGAAGTTCATGTGATGGTCTAGAATAAATAGCTCCAGCTATGTAACAGCGAGACTGGAGAAGGAGATTTATGCCAACACCTAGGTAACACTCCCTGCTCTTAAGCTGTGTCACTCACTGATGGGTGGGATTTTATGTTTTTTATTTATAGGCATATTGGGGACAATATTTTTGGTTCCACTTCAGTGAACTAAATCCTGGAAAATATATGTAAGCCTTACTTTAAATGCCCTAGGGAATCTATCTCAAAGCATTTCTGCAAATAAGACACCTTAGACTCCTAGTTTCTATTTTTGTAAGGCTTATAAGCGTTCTTAGAGACAGGAAGAGGAATCTGGGGAAGTATATCATCCATGTACAAGCCTGAGCCCTGGGAGAAGACAGACATGACTAGAGCTGGATCCCTGACTGCCAGGGGCAGTCTGTTGAGAAAGGCAGATATCTGATAAACAGATCATCATGGCATTAAGAAAATAATTGAGTAAAAAAAGTGCTCTCGTGTGCCTTTGATCCAGTGGCGTTGGTAATGCTTTTGTTAAACATACTTTTGGCTTCTGAAAACAGCCTTCTATTCAGAGTTAGGCGTCAGCATATACCATATTTATTTAATCACTCTGGGCTCACCACTGGATTTTCATTACAACTGGCCAGGATGCTAAAGACATTCCTGCAGGACTTTGGTACTACTCTTTTCACCTTAGGGGAGTCACTTGTCTTCCTCTGTTGTCCCACCTTTAATGAAAATAATCATTTTTGCCTTCCTTTTTGGATCATATTTTGGGGATAAATCAAGATAAAGAAAACTTTTGATGCTGTAGTTTGACTTTGAAGCCCCACATTTAGAGCCCATTTTGTTTTTGCCTGCTCCACTTACCAAAATAAACCTGTTTTCCTTGCATAAAAAATTCTCTCCCCCTTATGCCTGAATGATTCCTTGAACCTTTTAAATTTTTTTGGATGAGCTTTTAAATGTGAAACATTTCAGGGTGTATTAAACTTACTGTTTATTGGCTACAGTGAATTAATTAAATTGTGATTTCCGCTTGCTTGTGAAATCGACTCTGACAAGATGGAGGTTTTTGTTGTGAAGATGGCTGATAGCTAAGTGTAGATGGTAGAGCGTCTCTTCTGGGGTAGGACAGACATAGGGACAGGTCTTAGGGCTGAGAGAAATGCTGAAGTATCCATGACACCCCTAGAAATAGAGCGGGGTTCTAAGGATGATAGAAAGGAAAACTCTTCCTTTGTTTCCCCTCTACTCTGCAGTACTCCATAAACACCGCGGCTCACTTCTGACACCAGATGAGCAATTCAGCTAGTTGTCATCCAGTTTAACTCAGTTCTAGCACTACCTGGTGGTAGCCTCAGATCCAGCAGGTTAAGGGCTCCGTCCCACCTGACAGCCTCCCCCCCACCCCCCACCAAAGGCTACTTTGCAAGTACAGGTCCTTGCTCTGACTAGCTATAAATCAGTTTCCCAAGAGCACCTTGTGTTTGATTAAATTACTAGAGTGGCTCCCAGAGCTCAGGAAAAGCCTTTAATTACTAGATTATCAGATTATTGCAAAGGATATTAAAGCATAGCAGGTGAACAGCTGAATGAAGAGATACATGGGGTGAGGTCCGGAAGAGTGCTGAGCACAGGAGCTTCTGTCTCCATGGAGTTTGGTGATTGCACTCTCCTGCCACCTGGAAGCTCTCCAGACCCTTTGTAAATAAGTTCGCTTGTACTATTTTTTAGATTCTACATGTGATACCATATATGATATTTGTCTTTCTCTGTCTGACTTACTTAGTATGATAATCTCTAGGTCCATCCATGTTGTTGCAAGTGGCATTATTTCCTTTTTTTTTTTTTTTGCG